TGCTGCCTAGCCCCGACGCAACCAGATTCAATTCATCTCAAGGCAAGCCAAGTTTGCTATATGTGCGTTTGCCATCGGCCAGGCGGAATATTTTGTTTCAAGTGCACAAAGACATCAAACGGATCAAGATTGACACACCTGTGAGAGTGTCTTTAACGGAGGAATACGTAAGTCCGAATTTTTGGCCTTCCACGCGCGTCCTTGTACTCCCATCTACTCCGTCACACACTTCCCCGCCGTAGCCGCCTACGATGAAGATGAGCCGTCAAATTCTAATAGAGGACGCACATATAGTTCACGCCTTCCACAGATCTAAATCTTGAAAGCTGGCATGGTGGCGTGGAGGGCGACGATGGCTACGGGATGAAGTGGGTGAGCTGGAGCTAGCCAGCCTATCCTATAGCCCTCTTGTTCCTGCAGATGTTAAGCTACTAGTACTGAATCCAAAACAAAATATGAAATCTAGCTAAGCCACTTTAAGCGCATCGTCGCGGGTTGGCGGGTTTGGTCTTCGATTCACCATTGATGGCTCCAATGAGAGATGAATTGAAGCCGAGTAGACCTCGATGAGGGCTTCGTTGAGGGGTTGCTGACTTTGCTTTGCGTTCGGAAGCCGTCTTGGAGCAAATGGATGGAGGGCAGAAGCGAATCAAGGCTCAAAGGCGAGAACACGCGAGAGGGTGAGGTGTCGGCCCTCACCGCCATGCCCAAGTCCAGTGAAGAAAGAAGAGGTTGGCTGAGTGGCTACGGTGTAGCGTGCAATCAGGAGGGTGGTGAAGGGCGAGGGTTGTGGCGGTGTGTGAGCAGGAGTTATACCTAGCCATTGATCGGGAATCTTACATTTGATTTGGTATAGAGAAACTGAAAACGAGAGGAGAGGAAGTTTCCTCTTGTTTCATGTGCACGAGCTAGGGAGAGGTGGGAGGAAACGATGGAGGCGACTGAATACGTACCACCTAGATATCACGACCGCAAACTCCGATCATGTATAATCAATATAAAATATGAAAATAGGATCGCATTTTTCACGCATTTATTGGCAAGTTTCCATTTCCCCCCATTACCCTAAGATAAGAAAATGCAGAGTTTTTCTTGGTGATCACTGACAACGATAGGGGTAAGAGAACTAGCATCGTTAAGAAAGCACGAATCAGGGTGTTTGGTCTAGTGGTATGATTCTCGCTTCGGGTGCGAGAGGTCCCGAGTTCGATTCTCGGAACACCCCTTTATTCCCCTTCCTTCTGGGCCTTTTCTTTTTTGCTCCTGGGCCTATCCCCCTCCCCCTCCCCAGCCCGGCCCACGAGGCCCAGCAATACCTCGAGCTCGACCACATAAGGCCAGCCATGGCGGGAAATGGGGAAAGTGGAGCGCGCCAAGATTTTGCCGGCTAGGGTTTCCCCTCCTCCTTCCTCTTCTCTACCGCCGTTCGTCTCACCGGCCAGCAGCAGCAGCAGCGCGAGGATCCATGGCGGGGGAGGCCAAGGAGCCGGAGGCGGCCGCCCAGGGCGAGGGGTCCAAGCCCAAGACCAAGGCCAAGAAGCCTAAGGCTGCGGCCGCGGCCGCCGAGGAGGGGGAGGGGGCCAAGGCCAACAAGGCCAAGAAGCCTAAGCCCGCGGCTGCGGCCGCCGAGGAGGGGGAGGGGTCCAAGGCCAAGAAGCCTGCGGCCGCGTCGGTGCCGGCGATGGCGGAGGCGGAGGTGGAGGAGCTGCCCAAGGCCATCGTGCGGCGGCTGGTCAAGGACAAGCTGGCCCGGGCCGCGTCCGGCGGCGAGGGGGCAGAGGGAGGGGCCGAGGTGATTGTGAACAAGGACGCCATGGCCGCCTTCGCCGAGAGCGCCCGCATCTTCATCCACTACCTCTCCGCCACGTGCGTTTGATTCCCCCAACCTCCATTTCTTCCTTCCCCTGATTCTTGCTCTGGTTGATTCCTGCGAGTGGCCATTATTGATTTGGTTTGTTGGGTGGATCCGGGTGACGAATTTGTTGCCTATGTGAAATGTTTGGGTGGTTTGGGGGGAGAAATCAGCGGTAAATTACTTGGCATTGACATATTCGATTTACTGGGTCGATTCGAGTGACGAATTTGATGCTTGTCTGAAATGTTTGGGTGTTTTGGGGGAAGACATCAGCAGTAGTTAATTTCTTGGCATACTGGTTTAGAATCTGCATTGCTGACATAGTTCTTCAGCTAATTGCTCTGTTGTGGGCCCGAGGGGGGGAGCCGGCGAGAGCGAACCCATCAAATGCACAAGGAACTGATGGTTTCGGCGCAATATTAGGCTTCTCTGTCCCTGTGATGTGATGCTTTTGGGATGATGATAGTGATATGGGTGCGGTCTTATTTGCAGGGCCAATGATGTGTGCAAGGACGGAAAGAGGCAGACGATCAACGCCGAGGACGTCTTCAAGGCGCTCGATGAGATTGAGTTCCCCGAGTTTGTGGAGCCCCTGAGGACTGCTCTGGAAGGTCAGTGTTGTTTTCTACTTCCCCTGTTCCAATTATAAGATGTTTTGATATAGCCGAACAAAACGTTCTATAATTGGGAACGGAGGTAGTATTTGTATCCTCCATTATGTTACAGTCTGCTGTTCTTGCTCAGTTGTGCCCGTCAAGAATATGTTCTTTGAGTTTAGGACTTTAGATGCTGTATGGATATACTCTATAATATAACTCTACGCAATGATGTAAATGAAGTGTGCAGTGGCTCATTTCTTTAGATCTTCAACTTAGAGAATCCAAGAGCATAAATACAAGCTGTTCAAGGCATTGGAACTTCTTTGACTGATTAACATCCTTACCAATGAGGAGTTGTATGAATCTGGGATCCGAGAGCATAAGTACAAGTTGATAATAGCTACGTATTGGATTTAGACGCAATCATGTTCAAAAGAACATTTGGGTTTGTTGGATTAAATCCTTTCTGCATCTGGGTACAATTAATTTGGAAACAAACTCGTTCCACCATCCTCTGCCTTTAGTAAGATTTCTGTACCGTCCATCTTATGCAAGTATTCTATTGCAGTCTTATGTTCTTGTTCTTCAGCTGTACCCATCAAGTGTATGTGCTTGGAGTTTATATGCTGCATGTCTAACTCTATGCAGTAATGTAAATGAACTGTGCAGTCACTTGGTGATTTAGATTGTTGGCTTAGAGAATCTGGGAGTGTAAACAGAAGTTGTTAACGACAATGGAATTTCTTTGACCAATTAATATCCTTATATGAGTTATGAATTAGGAATTGCATGAATCTGGGATCTGAGGGCACAAAGTTGATAATAGCTATTATATTTAGATGCAATGGTGTTCAAACGAACATTTGTGTTTATTGGATTGCACTCAATCCTTTCTGCTTCCTCTTACAATTAATTTGGAAACAAACTAGTAAGGTTTTTCTACCGTCCATCTTATACAAGCTCTCACCGCCGCCCTTTTGCCCTGTTTCTGTTTCAGAGTTCAGAAGCAGAAACGCAGCCCGGAAGCCAGCATCAGGCAAAAAGCAATCCGAAAAGAAGAGGAAACTGGATAAAGAGGCAGTGCCCGAAGAGCAAAATGGTGCAGCCGATGAAGCCAATGCGGGGGAGGATTAGTTTTTCTGACCTTATGATAGGCTGAATCTGAATCACATTAGCAGTATACTGTCCCTTGTGCTCTCTTTCGTGATGTCTCTAGATGCAGAACTGCTGTGTACTTGGTATCATGATGTATGCAGTGACTCATGTTTTTGTCCCAAACATCGTCAGCTATGCTAGCTCAAATTAGAAACCTCTTCTTGGTGCTATTTAAATTACCACCTTTGGTGAAATATACTGTTTTTGGGTTAATGGTAGCACATGAATAAGTTGATTGGAAGGTGCTGGTTTTCTGTGCACAATCTCTAGTGGAATTGCTCACTGCACATCTTGTTCTGATCTGTCAATGTGTACTGTCACAAAGAAAGAAAAAATGTTTATAATTTGCGCTGTAAATGCTTGAAACCAAAGATATGATCTATGATGCAGCACACAAATCAACATCATAACTGAAATTTGGGGTCTACTCATGATCAGTCTGAAACTTGACTCGATAGCCTGAATTTGCAACAGCTTTCAGTGAGTTTCTCAGATTGACACAGGAATCTCTCTAATAATATGCAATATAAGCTGTTGTTTCTCTATGCACAATCTCTAGTGAACTGCTCATTGCACATCTTGTTCTGATACTAAAATTAAGTACATGCTTAACCTATCAATGTATACTGTCGTAAACAAAGGCAAAATGTATTCGATTTGACATGAAACTGCTTGAAATCAAAGATAATGGACGATGCTGCAGCACACAAATCAGCATCATAACTTGAACCGGGGTCTGTTTATGATCTTCCAGTGAGCTACTCAGATTCACATAGGAAAGTTGCTTGGAACATGAACTGAAAACAGGATCAAAGTTGAGAACTGAAAACACTCTCTAAGTTCAGACTGGGCAGTGTTAGCCTGCTGCTGTTGAAAGCTGCCTGTATAACCATATATATTGCCGATCAAGTCCAGACTGCAATTAAATGTGGTATTTCCAAGGTATCTTCCACACAAATAGTGCTTATAACTGAACCATTCAAATGGCCACCTGTAAATAGCTGTAACACCATCTACTTCTAATTTAAAGGCTCCTGCCAACGAAGAAAAGAAATAGAACTTATACAGTCATGGTTTGAAAACTATCCGACCGGCCAAAAAAACAAGGCATTGAAATGTCCTCTAATTCAGTCCAAACGCCATTTCGCAACAACTCTTTCTCTTGCAGACATTCTGGCTCTTTCTTTGACAGGCGCTGCGGCCACCACTTCAGCGCTGTCTACAGGAGTTGGTTTCGGCCTGGAAGCGGGTGCCGACATGGCCCGAGAAACACAATAAGCCGCAAAGGTGAGTGCGCGCCTTATTTGCCGCAGCACGACCAGCAACGGGTAGACGGCAGCCCCCAGAAGCACGTTGAAATTCGCGATGAGGAAGACCTGCAATGCAAAGTTGAGCAAGTGTTAGCACTACTATATAAGCATGTTTTACAGAAAGGACTAGACATAGTAACACAGGACATTCCCCGCTTACCGCTGCAATAATGCCGAGGATCGTCAGAACAGTCTGCTTCGCAGCGTCCCAGAAGCCTCCACTGCTAAACCACCTGAACCAACCACCTCCACCTCCACCACCTCCTCCTCCAGACCTTCCCCTGCCACCGCCACCGACAGCAGGAGCAGGGCCACCACGCCGGTCTCTTAGCCGCCTTGTAACAGTTTCCACGCCCCATGTCCCGAACCCCGTCTTGTTCTGGTCTACGGCACTCTCCAGCCCTCTCCTAGCTTCCTCCTGCAAGGAAAGGACACAGCTTGTCGATATTTTTGTTGCTCTGGCTGTTTAACCATTGAAGATTGCGAGTAACACTGGATTCTCGCAGGAATAAACACCAAACATATACTTATCGAGAACGCAGTCCAGCAATGCCTATCACAAATCAAAGAGGGCAGTTTAATACTCCTACTACTTAACAGTGCACAGTTGAGAAAATTCAGGCTGTCTGCAACCATCAAATCTCAACCAACAAGGTACTTGCAGGAATCCTGATTCTGTTTGGCCATGTTCTTACAAGATTAAAAAACATCACTCATCAATCCATCATTCTGAATGTGTTCCAGCAATCCAACATCAGCCTCGACTGCTAACCCGATGCAGGATTAAGATTATTAACTACGTAGACAGGAACAATGTCGATGCTAGCATTTAGCAGGTTATGTCTCCGCGCAGCCACCGAATACAGCCATCAGTCCAAAATCTGAACCCAGAAAAAAAATATCTAAAAGCCGGCCAGATCTTGCTCACGGAAGATGATTGATTCGGTAAAGAGACGGACGCTGCGCGCACCTGCTTCCGGCGGCCGGCGCCGGCGCCGGAGAAGAGGCAGTAGGCGCGGCCGGAGCCGAGACCCCGCCCGATGGCGAGGCATCCAGGGAGAGGGCGGGACGGGACGGCGGCGGAGAGGGCGGCGTCGGGGCGGGGGGCGCGGAGGCGGAGCAGAGGAGGCGCGAGAGACATGGCTAATCTAAGCTCCGGGCTATGGCTTTCTTGGCTGGCCACTGAGCCTGCTCTCCAGTCTCTAGCACATGGGTCCCACACAAGATTAGGGCTTGTTATTTTTCACTATTTTTTGAGGGCAAAAACAAACTCTGTTCATGTAAAAAGAACTCTGTTAGTTGTACAGCCGGGTGTCTCAAACCCGTCTCAAACACCGGGGCGGACGGACGGACGGATCGATCACTGACAAATGACGAAAATGCTACCCAACCGGACGCCCCAAACCAGCCTCAAACGCCCGGCTGGCCGGCACCCCTCATATCCAGCCCAAATCTAAGGCAGTATGAGGCGGCCCGGGCACGCCCGGGCGCATACGCCACGTCCGTCCGACCACTCGACCCCACAAAATCTCTTTCCGGAGCAAGCTCTAGGCTCACTTCATTCCACTTTACTCTGCTCTGCTCGCCTTTTTCTAATCCGTCCAATCCCAGCGCCAGCGGCCACTCTGACGGCTGCTCCAGAGACGAGGACGAGTTGGCGGTCTGTATCGCGCTGGAGCGCTCGCGGGTCGAGAAATGCGGTAGCTCCGATTCTGGTGCGATGCCGCCCGTCGCCGCAGCGCCAATGCCAGCGCCGGCCCTTCCCGCCCCGTGCGTGTATCTGCGAGGGCAGCTCAATCGGCGTCGCCCGTCCGACAGCCTCCTCAATCTTCGGCCCCTGCTTCGCGCGGATATCGGTGGGTTCTAGTTCCCGCTCTGCCGGCACCACGTGCGGACTCCGAAATCACAGTCACGTGCCACCCGCCGTGGGAGGAAGAGGGCAAGGAAGATTGGGCCGTGTCCGATGCGGTTGTGCAGTCTGCCGCCACGTGATGCCGGTGCCCGAGGAGGATGAGCGTTTCCTCCAGTGCGTGTACCATCGGTCACTTACCACGACGGAGACGGACGCCTAACGGCTCCGGAGGAACAATGCCAAGCAGCTCTGGCTCGACATTGAGCAGTCCGAGCGAGAGGCGACAGGGGTAGCGGCGGAGGCGGCAAGGATGGCCAACCTCATGCACAGACATGACCGCATCGTCGGGCGCTTGCAGGGCTACGCTGTCATCTCCGATTCCTCCGACGATGACGGGTCCAACTCCGCTCCGACATCGACCCACCTCCTGTCGCGGACGCCTACAATAGCGGGACGACAAGAAGGGCAAAGGGCGGATGAGGAAGTGATGAAGCTGCCCCTTCTCATATCTAGCTCGTAGTATCTACCTCTTAGTATCTAGTTAGCATTTGCCGGGTAGTTTTGAACTGTGTGAACTATGACCGATCTTTTGGTGATGTTTATATGTGAATTTACGCCCGCTTGCTATCGGTTTAAGTCCGTTTCTTGTCGATTTTGCCCGTATGGTGATCTACATTCTATGTTGCATGATTTCGTACGGATGTAGGGTGCCGATGAGATACGCTGCTATGGACGCGTGGATTTAAAGATTATCTAGTCACTTTTCACGAACACGCCCGGACGTGTCCGCGGACATATAAGGGGCTGCATTTGACATGTCCTACTGTAGATTTTTTTTTTTTTGGCAAATGTCCGACTGTAGATGTGCTCTTATATAACGAGACCAGATTAAATGGGCTCACATCTATAGACCAAAGGAGCAAGTATTATGGACTCGTGGAGGACAAACATACAGGGATACTCATGAAATGGATTTGGCGGATTCCTTTTTTTTTTTCTTTCGCGATGAAAAGTAGGGTATTTATTTCAGATTCACAGGATTACAATCGGTAGCAACTAGTTCAACAATACAAGGGGGAGGTTGGTTAAGCCAACACACAGTGCTATCCCTGCTACTTCCAAAACTCGCTAAACAATCTGCAACCCTGTTTTGTTTTGTTCACGAGAGGCGGATTCTTCTTGATGATGGGGGTCTCTAGCTTCAGCTGATCAAGGCGAAATAACGTAGAGGCCAACCCCTCTTTACCTGCCACCAAAAAAGGGCTCCCAATTCTGATGCACCATCCAGTTAGAATGAAAGGAGTGGCTACTTTGATAAATAAAATGGCTATGTGCATCGCGTGATGCAGAGGCCGGGGGTAACCCTCATTTTCTGAAAAGAGTTAGAATGAAAAGAATTTGCAGCTTGCAGTTGAGTAGCTGTAGCATGGTTACTGTGGTGGCGATTTGGTTGATGTAAAATAAAGAAGCAGCTTTTCCCCCTTAATACATATGCCAGGTGAAGTTAAACATGGCTTGCATGGTTGAGTGAAACGTCAGCACTTACGTGTTTGTTTCGTTGGCTTCTAACATAAAATCATTTACAGAGATAAAAGATAACATGAAATCGTGTTTGGTTTGGCTATGCCGAATTAGTTGACACGCTATCAAATCCCATATCGAGCAATCTGATTATGCCCAACATCGTGTGCAATTGGAAACCGCTTCGTTGAGTGCACATTCCTTTTCCCACGACTTCTCTCCCCATGGGCTGCGGTCTTGTCCGCCTAAAATGCATTCACCTCCACGATCCACTTGACTAACTTTTTTTTCGAAACTACGCAAGAGAAATTGAAGCAGTGTAGCACCCCTGACTGGTAGCTCTCTAAGCTATGATCCTGAATATCATATCCACAATGTGCTTTTCAGTTCTGAGTCTGAATGAGGCTGATTCGAAGTATGGATACCGAGGAGTTAATTCAGAAAAGATTCACAAACTGAGGGGAACTTACGTGGAAAATAATTGAAGTAGGCACTTCATATGGTAAGAACATTACTCACTTAAGAATAGAAAGCATGTTTAAAAATCTCATAGAAATCTGATCATGCAAGAAGAGAATTCATGGTGGCTATTGGACAGGATTGGCAAAGATTCCTTCATCGTGTAGCTGCAAGACATGTATCCACTGGTGACCCTCTACTATAATCATGCTTTATCTCAAAGCAGCGTTATTCTGGCTCACATCAGTGGATTGGTTAGTGGTAATGTTGTAACCCATGTTTGGGTTCATTCCACCATTGCTACTATCAGTGTAGAATCCATTGTCACCTCGTTCGAAGCCTTCCTCGAGGTCGAGGCACTCCTGTAGCTGCATCACGACATCAGTCATGGAGGGCCGTTGCAGGGGCGATTGCTCAGTGCACTTGAGTGCAATCTCCGTAGTCTTCCAAACAGCATTGATGTCATGATCACCTTGCATACGTGTGTCCACCACACCCTCAATGTCGCCCCATGCAAGCCGCTGTCGTGCCCAGTTGATGAGGGGGATGGACTCGGGATTGCGTACGATGGCTGGCTTCCCAGTGACGAGCTCTAGCAGCACAACACCAAAGCTGTACACGTCACTCTTGGTCGACGGCTGCATTGTTCTTTGATACCTGTATGCATGTGCGTTCACTCAGAAAAACACTTCATGCATAGAGGTTATTTTGGAGGAGAGCGGAAGAGATCGACGTACTCTGGAGCTGCATATCCAAGTGTGCCTGCAAATGTGTTAGTTGATACGTGGGTGTCATCCTCGCAGTTGAAAGCCTTGGACAAGCCAAAATCGGCAATCTTGGCCTCCAGCCTTGCGTTTAACAAGATGTTGGTGGTTTTCACATCCCTGTGAATTATAGGTGGGCTACATCCCTTGTGAAGGTACAACAGTCCTGCACATCACCAGTCTAGCCAATGCTCAAGATTCTTCAAGCACAACGTGTTCAACAGTGGGTCACTGCATTTTCAATGGTGTACCTTGTGCCGTTTCAAGTGCTACTCGAAGTCTTCGTTCCCAGGGTAAGCATGGCATGTTGCCGTCTTCTCCTTCAAGTATATATAGACATTGTAAATTTCAGACCAATGGGTACTTAAAAGGGTCATATATCAATACTATGCTTATGGCATCGACTCTCGCATCTCTAACTAGGAGATAAAACCTTGTATTTTGAGGTTGTCGGTCTTCGGCTTAAATGAAAATTCAGGTGGTCAGTTTGCCCTTCAAATTGCAGATACTGATCAAATTCTAAAGCTATATTGTTAAATTCACAAGATACATACCTGCAATATGCTCTTTTAGGGATCCTTGAGGCATGTACTCATAGACAAGTGCCATGTGCCCCCCATCGTTACAGTAACCAATCATGGACATAAGATTCTTGTGATGAATAAGTGTTAAAACATGAGCCTGGACAAGAGATCACGAGTTAGTGAAATTTCTTGGTACGAATTTCTGTCTACCAACAAGAACTACCTCTGCAAGGAACTCTTTGACGCCCTGATTTTAAGAATGAGACCTTAACTTTACTGCCACCTCAGTACCCTTCTCCAGGGAGCCATGAAAGACGTACCCAAACCCTCCTCTTCCAAGCGGTCGTTGGAAGTTGTTCGTAATCACCTCCAGTTCCATGTATGTGAACTGACGGTTCTCAAGTGGAAGTGAAATAATCCAGTCGCCGTCATTCGTCACCTTCACAGGGTTTCTGATTGATCCTATGTCGGCAACACATGCCATAACAAACATCAATGATGCATTTTCACAAATGGGGACGGGGGGCAGAGAATTTTGTCCTCATTCCAAAGACTCACCTTCCTTTCTTTTTCTTTGTAACCAAAAACATAGTATTGCCACTAACACTAATGCCACAATAACAACTACCGGAACTACTATGTGGATAGCTAGTTTGTTATCTCCTTCAGTAGGATGGCATGTATTCCCATTAGAACAGAGGTCAGGATTGTTGCCATATCTACAAGGAAATGAAATGAAGTTACTTAGTCGAACTTACTGGGAACCAGGTTGGATGCTATCAGAAATAACAGAGGGAAATCACCTTAGATCCAAGGAGCCATCTTGAACTTTTTTTAGAAGTCCAAAGGGAATTGATCCACTGAGCTTGTTGTTTGAGAGATCTCTACAGAAAATAAAGAATATTGTCATGAGTGAAAAGAAACAACATGGGAACATTCAAATCAACTGGATCACAATAGTTGTGAATCTTACAAAAATATTAATGACGGTAATTGTGAAAGGGTGTCTGGAATTGAACCTATCAAGTTGTTGTTTGACAGATCCCTGCAACATATAGACCGAATATTTCCTTTTACCACTTTTGCCAAAAAGAATTGTACAAGTAAGGGTAGAAGTACGAGTATCAGAAATAACGTACAAGTGTCGGACATCCGTGAGATTTGCAAAATCAGGTGATATAGTATAATTCAGACCACTGAAGGAGACATTTCTACATATTAACATCAAAGCAGCTAATCAGTTTTATGACACAACATCACAACATAACTGAGTAGAGTAGAGATATAAATTACTTACACGTTTGAGATAATTGGGGGCTTGGAACTGGCATAGATGCATGTTAGGCCATCCCAGACCATAGTATCGGGAACGCATGGGTCACCCATCCAATTCTTCTGCACCTGGTACCTCTCCTTGATGGTCATGATGGCAGACACTGCTAAAATAAAAACCAAAGATAAATTTTCAGTAACATAACATGCATAGAGGATAATGACCAGTGAGCTAGATAGCTCATGTATGTGTGTATGACCGTACCGTCCTGTGAGTTGGTGCCCAAGGTGGTGGTTGGAATGATGGAGAATAGCTCGAGGGCGTTTATGATGGGCGGCATCGTTGAGTTAGCCGTGGCGTTGATGGACAACAAGTACTGTCTGGCATGAAATGGCTCAGCTGAGTAGGTGTAACCATCGTCAAGGTACGGCGGAGTGTAGGCTGTTGTGGTCTCTTCTCCATTCCGGTAGATGGTGTACTGTCGTAGTGTATTATTGGGGAGAGATTTTAGTTCAGAGAAGTACATCATTTCAATGTACCCCAGGGACCAGTAACTAGGGGAACCCTGGAGGTCCATGGTGAACTCTATGTTGCTGGAGAAGTTCTTCGGCGTGATGGCTGTCTGCATCACTGCCTGGGGTGGCTGGAATTGGTCGTCACCAATTTCCACCTTCATCTCCGTTGATATCTCATCCCAGTAAGCTGTTGCACCGCCAGAAGCAGGGAACCACATGCGGTCGAAAGGATCATCAGGGTACCTGTTGAAACAATCGATCAATTGCATTTTGTGATAAGAGTAATTAAGATTTTACTCTCACCTGATAGCAGCACTTCCATCGTATGGTCCGAAGTTGATCCTGTTGACCAGAACCAGGCCATGTGTCATGTTGGCTTGTGGGTAGATTTTGTTCCTCAGCGGCCTCAGATCTAGCGCAGAGATGAATGGCACCCCGCCACCCGTGTTCACAAGGCAAACCTGTAGGGAATCACGCGACACCATCACGATGGCCTCCGCCAACACCCACCTGCCGGATACTTGGATGTTCACCCTCATCCAAAAGTCAACACCCACGTAGAGGTCAAAGGAGATAGGTAGCCTATCGAGGCCATCGTAGTTGCCGTACAAGAACTTGGCGCGGATCAGGTATTTTAGCCCAGGCATGAGCAATCCGAGAGTGTAGCAGTTGCGCGCCCCACTGGGGAAGCTGCGCAGGGTGTACCACCAGTTGTTGGGTAGTGTCGAGGTCATGTACTTAGTTGAGATGTTGTGGTTTGAGCCGGCGTAGGCGTCAATGAAGCTGGCGTCCGTGGTGTAGGATAGAGTGGTGATGTTGTTCACGTAGCCCGTCTCTCCCGGGAGACCACAATCTATGCTTATGAAACCTGCATGCATGCAGTACAAATCATGGTATTGACTATGTGCATTCTAGTTATGCATAGGTCGGACGTGTGTGTTTATTATAGTGTTTGTATTTGATGCTTCAGTATGAGTCAAAAAAAAAAACGATCTCAAGTTTTCACCTGTGCTATGATAATTTTGTATGCTAATTACTCTATTTAACAACTTTTCATTTAGACTACCCATTTAGCGAACATTTCACCAGCATATATATATACTTGCTGGGTAATTTGCGTCAAAAATGTCAAAGTAGGGAGTATAGACATAAGTAAATATACATTCAGCGGCATATATACCTGCTGGGTTTGGCTGCGCAGGAGCTTGCAATATGCCGGCGGCGACTAGGCAGAGAAGCAGCAACCATGACATGGCTCTCGGCGTTGGTAGCTCCATTGATGATGAGCGCAGGAGGTTGGCGATATATATGGCAAAGTATATCTTTCGCACAGAGTCGCGGATGCAGCTGTACTACGATTGAGTCGCATGCATGCAGCCATAGGAAAGGATAGAGCAATGCTACACCTAGGTAAAGTTACGTACAGATTTTACGTAATAGACAATGTGTAGGACTGCGATTGGATGGATGGATGTGCCACACGGGTGAAAATCAGGGGGGGCGATAGATTTGTTAGGCAGGTTACGTAACTCTTAGTAGGTTGGTTTCGTAGGTGTAGTATTATTGGAAAGGATATGGCCGCGATGTCCGCATGCATGCAGCTCTTGGGAAACCAGCAGGGGGCCGAGGCGGAGCTACCTAGTTAGACGTCTGCGCACATCTCACCTCACCCGGCTTGTAGCGGTTTGCTCGATCGTACTGTAGTTTATTACAACAGGGAGAGATCAATATTTTAGGACGGCAGGTTTGCTCGATCGTACAACATAGAATTTGCCATGATAGGAGAGCATAAATTTGCATGATGCATAGCCATACCGGTTTGACAAAACAATGCTAAGTCCAGGGAAGGCACATAAAAACTAAATTTGCCATCCATGAAAAACTAAATTTCGTGCAGGAGGGCGACGCTGTCTGGCGCCGTGGTGGCGTCGATGACAGAGAGGCCTGGCAAGGTCGATGCGTCAGTATCTGATCTGAGGATGGATCGGTGGGTGAAGGAAGTGACGGCCATTGCAGCGTGCGCATGTGGTGCACACTGAAAGTGCGCCGGACCGGTGTGTAACCCAGTCCACTGAGAGGGCATCTGGCATTAGATGTTAATTAGATGTTGGTGTGATGTCTGTTTGGTATTAGACTCTAACATTTGGCACACCTCCATCACGTGGATAGGAGTAACGACAGGTGTTGTCAAGATGGTGGCTTTAGGTTTACTGATGTATTAGCTCTGTAAGAACTTTGTGAATAATTAATAAAATAGCTGCATGCATCGTCCAGATGCAGAGGCCGGGATGCATCCTCTTTTTCAAAAAAAAAAGTGAAAAACTAAATTTGCCATCAAGTAACGAAGAACAAACCATACGGAACAAAAAGATTTAAAATGCCAAACAAAAGTGACAGAGAGAACGAAAACAAAGCACACATGCAATCTTAATTTGCCATGCTAAGAAAGACGTACTAACCATACACGCTTAGAGGTCACACGGGAAAAACTGTACAAAACATTTGCACTAGTACAATTTATGTTTTTTGGATTTGCCATGGTCTGGTATCTACAATTGACACCGAGCTAAAGACTGACTTGTCATTACTTTCAAAAAGAAGGAAAACCAATAAGAATTGGGATGATGATGTGAGTTTTCTTTTTAGAATGCCATATGTACATTGAATATTTAAAAGCTTCCATCTTAATTATCCTCAATTCGAAAAGATTTGCCTTGTGTTTTTTTTACAAGAGCTGTTTAGAAGGCCACGTGAGTAGTGCAATAATTTGTAAAAAAGTTTAATGTAAGTAGTGAAAAACATATAAAAAGGTCACATGAGTGTTTTCCCTGAATATACGGTAATGGTTGCCATGGGCATAAAGTAATCAGTGGTGGAGCTAGCGAATTTTCAAAGCCTGGGCACACCGTAAGCTAAAGTTTTATTTGGTCTACCAAACACCAAGTATCATGTGTAATATACATGCTAATGTTTCATAATCACATAGTTACTACAAATATCAGATAACTCGCTAAACAATAGCCACACAACCGAACCAAATAATTTCGGAACTGAATAAACAAGTCTATGAGTTGCAAACAAAAAACCAAGTGTGTGTGTTTATAAATCTCTTTCTGAGTATTTTCAAACAACCTGCAGCATAAAACAATATTCAGAATATTAGTCTCAGTCTGTACGTGGTTCGTTGGTTTCGTTGGTATACCCCAAGCGATCGATATATGCTCCACCAAGCGATCTCCCTCCCACCGATTTCCCCCTCCCTCCGAAAACCAACACCGGTTTATATTCATCACTAGACCCATACGTCCCATGCCAAAAAAAACCCCAAAAGAATCACAACTTTCCTCTCGTGGCTTAGACATTCCCTACCAATGGAATGATGGCGCATGGGACTTTTTCCGCTCAGGGCTATTTCTGCACGTAACTTTGACATACCATCATGACATATTTCCGATCGGGGCTGTCTGTGGACGTACCAGTTTGGGATTGACTCCCACGGCACACAACGCCCCTGCCGGCGAATCGGCTCTACTGCATACCCCGCGCGATATAGCGTCCCACCATCCTCTGCCCAGTTCGATTTCTGATGGGTCTGGTGCTCTCACGGCACCCCGACCTGCAAGCTCCTTGTCGCGACTGTTCCATAGCCTCCTACACCTACGAGCAGCTGATGGTGCATTGCTACACGCCTACAGGCCACGGATGATAGGTTGGACACGCAACTCTGGCATCTTTCATCATACACATACATTACTAATCTGATCAATTTTCCAATCAGATCATGGTTGATTTTTTTCTCAAAATATCTGAACAGTTTTTTTTTTCGAAAAGGGTGTTTACCCCGGCCTCTGCATCAGAACGATGCATACGGCCCTAAATATCTGAACAGCTAGATCCGTCTTATCTTATAACAATCTGCATTAGTTCAAGAACAAGAATGGCGAGTAAGTAATACATGCATTTGTAACCATGACACTTGAGGAGAGAAGGGACACAAAGGAATTGGTGGCAGCGCTGATGAACGGACAGTAAGGAATTGCTGGAGTCAACACTAAGGAGGACAAACCATGCACTTTCCATTTTATGAATGAATGGGCCAGTATATAAAAATATAATACAAGTTTATCAAAATATTGTCCAGGGTAATTAAGCAGATATCATACAATCTCAACCATCGACTTTAATAGAGCATGTGGATCCATAAGAAATCCTGGTAGTATTTAGTCATACATCAAATTAGCTTTGTATTGTTTCTATTGTGCTTCCTTAGCGAAGCACGGGCAATGTGTTGCAATAATAACAATGGATAGTGTGTAGTATGCCAATATTACAACATAGTAATTAGAGAAAAAAAGGTGTGTACACGATTCGATGCAAATACTACAGCATAGTAGTTTGAGTACTATCAGGCCAGGTTATATCAGAGTTATAATTTGAGTACTGTCAGGAGATGTTATATTGGTGAGATAAATTGACAATGTTGATTTGTAGCCAACTTTGTAGTTTAAGTAGTCCATTGTCTGCTATGACGCGAAGCATGACAAGGCTTGTTTTCTTCAAACCTTTCCTAGACTCTACCAATAGGCCTACCCTCTTTTTTTTTTTTACCTTTTGGTGCAGGCTTCCTTGATTTATATAAGTATGAGCGAAAGCTACTCATGAACACGGTTTACTTTAGAGGAAAGATATAAAAGTTCAGACATCCCACAATGTTATTACAGTCTGTCCATTCCATTTAAATTTCAGGACGGATCTTAATTCCTCAAGAATGATGTGGTTCTGGAGTCTACTGTTAATCTCTTTTGTCGTAGAAGTTTGACCAACTTACTCGTTGCTCCTTCCCATTTTCTATGATGTTTCTCAGTCCTAAGTATCTGTATAGTCCAAATTGGAGTTACTTTGTTTACACTCATTTTATCGTGTCAGATCACCAATGGTGACAGCAGAGTCACAACGGTGGTGTCAACCGTGATGTTACTGCAGTGGCTGCAGGTGATTGTAGTTCAGCCTGAGACCAAGCAGCACCATCCTGCATATTTTCATTTTTTTTCGTTCCAAGTATTGTAAGTGCCAAATTTATTTATGTTATTTTGTACAGATTGGAAGCATAAATATTCAAAGTTGATTGGTTATGTAAAGCAGTAGGAGCACACACTATAAAAAAATACTTCACTCTTTAACACATGTACTAATTTGATTGATTATTTCGTACATCTTTAAATGACATGATGGCACTTAGGGACTGATAACACTCATATAAAAAAGTTACTTTCAATTAGAGTTGCTGAAAAGTACCCCTAATTAAATTTATTAGTATATTCTAATGCAATGTCGCTCATGAAATGTTTGTAGCTAAACATGTACCCCATTGTATAAGGGGCTTTTCTGCTCTTTACGACATATGGTCTGTATATGTACTGGCCACTGGCCCTCAGTAAATGACAGTTGCTCACTTATCCAACATGGTATCAGTTGCCAGGTTCCTCTTCCTCTCCCGCACGCTGCAGCTCCGTGCCTAGCTTCCCCGTCGCCGGCCATCTCCTTCCTTGTTGCCGGCCATCTTCTCTACGCCCGGCAGCCCCTGCCTGCGCCTATCGAGCTCGCCCACGCCCAGGTCGTGCCCTCCCCGCCCGGCTGCGCCCAGGCCCTGCCCCGGCCGCGTCCAGGACCTGCCCCGGCCGCGCCCAGGACCTGCCCCGG